TGTGTGTCGGGGGGTGGGTGTGCCCGCGCTTTAAGAAGAGGGGGATAGGCTGGGGACCTCGGGGCGCATCCCGTGGGATGGATACACCACCCTCAGCAGGGGCGCACGGTGCCCTGGAGGCCGCCCGCCTTGGAACGTTTTATCCCTGGCACGGAAGGGTTTGGACCCTCCTCCAGAAGTTCTGTGGCTCCTTTTCCAAGCAGTGCCAGTGCTGATGCCACCTGCATGGGGTGCCCCAGGCCGGGCCTTTGGGGGTGGCGGTGTACTGGTCCTCAAGCAACCTCTTTCCTCGGGTTGGGGCCATGTGGGACCAGCAGAACAGAGATGGGCCACTGTCCCGTCTCTGACGCCAGGGTACCCACGTATGAGGATGCATGTGTGTGTACGTTGGCCATGGTGAGTTCAGTCTGTCATCCTGTTCTGGAGACTCCAGGCAGGGAAACCCACCCTCCCGGCCCTATGTTGGGGCTCTGGGGAAAAGCCCACACAAGATCCTTCTCTTCTATTCCAGGGGCCCACAAGAGCCACTTGGGAGATCATTAGGCCAATCCGAGGCTTCCCAAAGCCTGGGGTCAGGTGGACTCTGGCTTATAGGTTTGGTGAGCTAAGGCTCATTTAGCCAAATCAAGGGGTGGGGATGTGGGAAGCCCACCCCCCTGCCCCGCCCAACTCCCTGTACTGGTCTGGGCCTTCCCCTCCATCCCCAGTGACCTGGAACGTTCTGCAGTGTGCCCCTTCATTCAGAAACTCCTGAGGCTCAGTTCATCTGTCTAATGGGGACATGTCCCATGCCCCCCGGGGTGGGGGGGTTGTCAGGATGGAAAAGTCAGATTAGGTGCCTGAGAAGGCAGGGTGCAGGGGGCCAGGCCAGTGCTTGGTGCTCTCCAGGAAGAAGGGGCTGGTTCTATAGAGGTAAGGGCTGGGCCCAAGGCCCACACCCCAGTCAGGTGAGTGTGCAGAGAGCGACCAGCCTCTCCTGGCAGAGCCAGCACTCCTGGGACCACCATGAGAACAAATCTAGGACAGGCAGCAAGGTCCTGGGGCAACTGCAGCATCAGGCGGGGGCAGGCATCAGTGGGAAGGAGCAGGCCAGGCACGGGTTGCGTTTCTTTATTGGGACAGAGGGTATGTCATTCATATGGACCTCTGTGCTGGTCCCTATGTGCACAGATGTGTATACACATATGTACACACACATCCACAGGAGGCCAGAGCTCTGGTGTGCTGGGGAGGTCAAGCTCTTTTACAAGAGGGCATTAGAAAGAACCCGATTCCAGAAAATGGGGGCGTCTGAGGCTGCGGCCTCACCCTGGCAGGAAGCCAGCTCTGTCTGAATGCCAGAGTGCAGCTGACTGCGCTGGAGGGCCTGTGAGAGGAGCTTGGGTGGACAGAGCTTCCAGCCCCCTACCCTGCGCTGGTGGCCAGGCCCAGCCCTGCCCCTGAGGCAGGTCCTCAGGCTCTGTGGGGAGGGGGCCTGAAGACCCCAAGTGCTCCATGGGACCACTCCTTGGGCCGTTCCCCAGGCCAGGCCTATCAGAGGACAACCCTCCGGTCCAGGTGATCCCCACGCCCACTCCGCTGGTGCCTCACTTCCAGGTGCTTCTTCTGGACCCTTTCAAAGTGCTGCAGCAGCTCGGCGTAGTCAATGCTCGAGGAGTCTGCTTTCTGTGACTTGGGGGCTGCCTTCAGACCGTCTCTGGGGAAAGGGAGCAGAAGGGCTCAGCGTCAGTGTCTCAGCACATGATGGGGCTGCTGGAGCGGGGTAAGCATCAGCCACAGCAGGACAGTGGGGTCGGGGCAGGGCCACAGGCTGGGGGGAGCTCAACCTCGGGGAGTCTGTCCAGCTCAGGCCCAACAACCCTTCCCCAGCAGTCAGCCCAAAAGAGCCGGGAGCCCTATGAGCATCCCCTCCCCCAAAGTTGGTGGGACCAGTCAACACTGCTGCTTGGATAGGGCCTTCAGCCTGTGGGCTGGCAACGGTGCCCAGAGCAGGCATCACATCGGGAAGCATTTCCTGTTTATGAGTGGCTCCCTTTGGGGTGAAAGCCAGGGCTAGGAGCCAGCCAGGAAGCCAGCTGGGGCCTGGAACAGGGTCCAGGGAGAAGGGGGAGGAGGCAGCCTGGCCCTTTCTTTGGGGCAGGGCTAGGGCCGGGGACCACAGGGGTGGCTGAAGTCTACTGGCCCTCAACTTGGCAGGACGTCTGTTTTTGAGTGTTGGGGCCCAGAGGCCTGCAGTCACTCTCTGTCCCTGCGGAAGGAGAGCTGGTCTCCCCACTGGGCAGCTGATGCCTCCCGGGAACTCCTCTTGCTAGCACTCTCCGCAATTGCTCTGTACCGCCTCACAGCTTGTGCACTGCACAACTGCCACGGGCCTGATGCTCCCTAGAGTTGGGCAATGCATTCGCCCTGCTACCCCCTTCAAGCCCAGTGTTGAGCTTGCCCCGGGGGACTAGATCCACTTGGGCCGCTGTCCCATTCCTAATCATCACCCCAGCAGAGAGTCCCAAGAAAAGACTCTGCTTCTCCCTCATTCTGACCTCACTGGAAGCAGGTCTTTGTGGGCTGGGAAGGATCTGCTTCCAGGCCCTGAGGCCTGGTGGCCCTGGTAAGGGATCTCATGAAGGCTGTGGGCTGATCAGCTAAGCAGAGAATCCTTGGGCCCTTTGAGTTCATGAAAAGACCCCAATATGGCGGGAGAGGTCCAGGCAGCAGCTGAGCACAGGAGCTCGACAGACCTGGACCCAACTGTAACACGACCACCCCCTAGCCACTTGACCTCGGGCAGGTAACACAGTATCCTCCTCTGTAAGGGGGTGCTGCCACCGGAGCCACCCCATGGGGTGGGTGAGGATTCCTCCATACTTGACACGAAGAACTGATGCCCAGCCCCAGCCTAGGTACCCAATGGGTGCCCACTGTGGCTACAACTCTGTCCCGTTGAGGTAAGGCCAGGCGGGGCCCAGCAGCTCATTCCATTTGGGTGAATCACAACGGTGCTTCAGCCAAACGGACCCTCGCCAACGAGCCTGGCTCCTGGTAGGGCGAAGCCCACCAATGGTCAGAGCCTGAAAGCCATCTCTGATAAGCCACCAGGACCAGGGGCGTTGGGAACTCTTCCCACGGTTGGGATGCCATCTGGAGCCTGGAAGTGGGCCCCTGTACCCCTACTCAGCCTGTTCCCTTCCTGTTAAAGACACACCACCTGACAACACCTTGGATTGTGGCAGTGGCTGCTTCTTTCTTGGGCCTCAGGCCCTGCCTCTGGAGCTGGGACTCAGGCAAATTCAACAAAGATCAAAACGAGCTGGGTGTGGGGCTTGCTCTAGGGGGCCAGACTGCGGGCAGCATTCTGGTCTCTGGCTGCTGCTTTCAACTCCCCTGGGAATGGGGAAGGCCCATCCCTGTCCTTGTAACCTGTGGACCTGGGTGCTACTGCCCCAAGAGAGCAACTCCCACTCCTGAGGACGCTGAGGGACACCCTGCAGCTTGGAGCCGTAACTCCAGGGGGTGGCCAGATGCTACCCCAGCCCATGTAGGCCGGAACATGGGGAGAGATGTGCAGACCAGAGATGATCCTGTAGTGTGTTGTCTGAGGCTGGGCACCCACGGATCTGTATGCTCCTCTCTGCAACACTCTCTGCATTAGATCCAGAGGAGGGAAACTGAGATTAGGGGTTGCCAGGGAGATGCCAGCAATGGATGGCAAATCCAGGGTGATGCGCACAGATGTGGCCAGGTGAGGGTAAGGCGTCAGGAGGAGTGGGCCGCACCTTGCTCTCTGGGCCCTCACGGAGGCAAGAAGTCCTCCCCCCCCCCCCCC